AGAGAGAGAGAGAGGGAGGGAGGGAGGGAGAGAGAGAGAAGGGGGGAGAGAACAGCCGCATCGCAGGCCGGAGTAGGAGGGGCACGAGGTGTGACGTCGAGTGTGGATGTTGTTTGAAGTGTAACAGCCGCTCCCTCTTGTAACTTTTGTTTAATTTTAATTTACCTTAAACTTTCGATTTTAGATATTCGTAAGACTAGATAATGGACATTTGTCCTCCGCTGAAGCTCCTCCTTCAGCTGGACGCAAGGCTGAGTAAAATCCGTGAGGCGCAGATCCCCGGGTTGCGTCACGACTCGCCGTCATGCATGGCACTTTATGTCGGAGCTTGCGAGAGGGCACGAAAGCTTACATGACGTCACCGTGCAGCGCCGCCCCTCGGGTCTCTGGATCGGTGACCTCTGCTGCACGAAATTGCCCGCTGCCTTCGGGCCAGCATCCCGCTTTTCACATGTCCCAGCGAGGTGAAAATGGCCCTCAGCTGTCCGCGCCGCTGATGGCCGCCGAGGTGTGAAAATGGGGGGGTTTATAGCCCTTCTCCAGCTTCTCTGTTACCTGCTAGCGTGGAACTCCATCCGCCATGCTACAACTGGTTTGCGATAGGCCGGAATTGCGTAGGCCTATGAGGGCGCGTCCGCGGCGCGGGCGATCTCCGTGAGCCTTGGTTAAATGCGGTGTCACCTGTAAAGCGATTAATAGCGGGGATCATCCCCGGCACAAGAGAGTCGTGACCGCTTCATCACGCCCTCGTAACGAGGCGGGCGGCACGCGGAGCGAAGCGCCCCGGGCGATCGTCCCAACAATGCTCCTCGTGGTAACGGCCGCGTCCTCATCGACTCTTTCTTTTTAGGGCCATAGGCCTAACCCAGTTAATCCCTTTATTATAGTCCTAGAGTGAGATTTACCTCCGCCTTTGGGCCATGTCCCAGATAAAGGATTATTAATACCTTCTCGCCAACGGACCCTGGCGACGACGGAAGTGTGTGCCGAGGGAGGTTCGGTTTTCCAAAAGTTCTTAAAACTTGCGTGGCTGCCCTTAGTCCTCCCATTAGCACAAAGTTCAACCACTGTACGGTAAGCGAAAGCATTTGCAACGCAGACGCCAGTTACTAACATACATTTTCTTCCACAGACTCGCGGCGGAGGCTCTGGGGTGAGCAGCAAGCGACACAAGGAGGCAGCCACCACCAAGGATGGCCGAACCCGCGAGAAGGTGAGGATTGTGAATTCCGACCGGATTGCCCTTCTGCCCGAGGCGCCCGCTTCTCATCCTTCCGTTTCGATGCCGTTTGGTCATCGGCAACCGGCTTTAGTTGGCCAAATGCCACCAAATTTCGTTCTTGCATTAGCCTTATTAAGGATGTCTCAATTTTTGACAAAATCTGTCCTTTAAAACTTAATTAGACCAAATTATAAAGCTATTAATAAGAAATGGCCGTGTCCTGGAGAAATTTGATTATGCCCCACAAATCACTTTTGGGTAGAATATATGGGTAATGCAACCCTTTTGTCAGGGGACCATAACGCTCTTCCAGAAGTCCATGTCCATGCAGGTGTCCTAATAACGCGTGTCCTTGCAGGAATCATGTGCCAGCGCCACCGGCCCCGTCAACAACAACAGCGTCAAGAGCAACCACAACGCCAGCAGAGGATCTCCTGATGTAGGGGCTGATGACACTTGCCAGAGGACACGTGCAGCGCAGGAAGAAGGGGCAACACCGGAGATGGCAGCACAAGTAGAGGAGCTATCCCAAGAGGTGGAGCAGCAGAGGGAGCTGATTGAGCAGCAGAGGCAGCAGATTGAGCTGCAACTGCAGCAGCTGGAAGAGACGGCGAAGGAATTAGAGCAACAGAAGCAAAAATGGGACGAAGAGAAGCAGGCAATGAAGCAGGAGATGGAGGAGCAGAAGGCGACGGTGGAAGCGGAGAGGGAAGAATTGCAACATCAAATCGAAGACAAAATTCATCAGGTTGAGGAGCAGAAATTGGTGATGGAGGCACAAAAGCAGGTGATGGAGGACCAGAAGCAGGTGATGGAGGAGCAGAAGCAGGTGATCGAAGAACAGCAGTTGAGAATTGCAGATCTGGCGGAGGAATCGATGGTAAGCTGTGTGTCGTATTTTCTGTGTGCCTGCAAGTGAAAGTGCTTGCGTGTACTACATGTGCAGAAGTGATCTGCGCCGATAGCTTTCGGGGAAATGTCTATTGTAATTGTTCGGCAAAATTACTGTAGTTGCTCACAACACGAAGGTCTCATACCTCACGGATATGATTATGATGGGAAGGTTGCCGACTCACTGAGCTTCAGCGCCAGACGCTTTCCTGATCATCACGTAGACAACAAGACTTAATCTCGGCCTGAGTACGGGTCTGATTGTGTGGCAGTGCACTGTCATGCCCTTTTATGCTCAGATTAGCTGGAATTCATTTGATCGCGGACTCGGTGACTCTGCACTCCATCGTTATGATTTATATATATATTTCAAAAGCATATGATCAGGTTGTGTGCATTCCGTAAAGGTTAGCAGTGAATCGGAGAAATTGTCATTCTTTCTGAGTGGATTTTATAATGCCTTTAGCCCTTGATGACCAAGGATAGAGGTTTATCAGCGAGTGCCAGTGAGTCACAAGTGACTGATTGTTCTTCGCCATGACAGGAACGCGAGTGCCTGCCGCCAGTCCCCCCGCCCCCCACCTGGCACCCTCGGAGAGAGTCCTGCGTCAAGGTTGGTGCTCGTTTTGGTTTTATTCTTTAGAATAGTATGACCGCATCTTGGCAATGATGCTGAAACGCTACATTTCATAACGTGTATCCTTGATTTAGCCATTTCTTTGGCGAGAGCTGTTTCGTAGTTGAGTTGTCATTATTCTAGAATAGTATCCGCACTTGCCGCTGTCATTATTCTAGAATAGTATCCGCACTTGCCGGTGTCATTAGCCACATTATGAATCAGATGATATAATGCGAATAGTGGATACTAAGGTTCACACCGATCGTTTGAATGGACGCAAAATTCACACAGGCATTAATGTACTGAAGATGCCCAATGGCTGTTGCCCAAGGCCCGCGGAGGGTGATGACTTGTGGTTACGTTAAACGCACCGTCATGCGGCAGGCAAACGGCTCCCATGGCAACTTGTAATTTCAATAGCAGAGACTAATGTCTACATTACCTGGAGAAAATGCTGTAATTTTCGTCACTGTAATCCCTCGAAGACCCTGCCACCTGACGGGAGCCATATGCCGCGGTCGCATTTTATCATTCATCACGCTATACCTGGATTCTAATCCCTCCCTGGCGCAGCGACGCACACAGATTAAAATCCACGAAGCCCAGATTACGGAAGTAACGGGTCTCCCGTGCTCTCAGGCCTCGCCCTTCGAGACGGCGGTTCCTCATCCCGAGTCAAGCCGACAAAGAGCGAGAGGCGAGGAGAGAGAGGTCGCAGCGTTGTCCTTGCCGCGTCAGGTGGTCCTTCGCACCCCCTACCACGTGGTGGGGGCCCACGCGGTGCCTTACCGTCTCATGGCATGATGCTTGTAAAACGAACAGTCTCATGGTTTGCTGCTTGTATAACGAACAGTATCATGGCTCGGTGCTTGTAAAACGAACAGTTCTTGAGAAAGAAACGTCGTGCACAACATTTTCGCACAGAATAAAAAATAATGTGAGGTCAGCATTCTAGGATGTCTAGAAATGAATGGTACAACTGGCACGCCATGGTGAGGCAATGTGGATGTGTGAACAGCTACCTTGAAGACTCGCCAGAAAAACGCTGTCGTCAGCAGGAGAGGATTTGGCTATGACGATGACACCGCTGGAAGACCGAGACTTTCATCGCGCCAGTTATGCAAATATTGGAAGTACAGGGAATGGGCAATGTCGCGGCCGAAATGTCAGTGCTTGGGTGTTTTTCCATGACTAATTATTCCGTCGGTGTTCTGCATATATAGATAGATAGATCGATAGACAGAGAGACAGGTAGATGGATAGATATGTAGATAGATAGAGATGGATAGATAGATGGATGGGTGGATGGTTGAATGGATGGATAGATAGATAGGTAGATAGATAGATAGATGGATGGATATATATTTTGTTAATCATTGATTCATTTANAAAAAAAATATTATCATTGATATGATGCCATTCGAATCTGTACTTATTGTAATTTTGATATATGATTGTTTCATGAATGTGTGTTTTACACGGAAATGATGATAATAACAATCAAAAGGGAAATGGGTAAGGTAATAAAAATACCAAACTACTGGCAAATTACCTCGTTTCCTGTACGATTCAGAATTATCATGGAACAAAATCCTGTTACATAATTATTTAGAATCGATAAACCACGGATTCGGGATGAATGAACGATTCCGGAGGAGGGAAGGAGGGAAGGGAGGAGGGGAAGAGGAAGGGGAGGAGGGGAAGGAGGGAAGGGGGAGGCGGGAAGGAGGAAGGGAGGAGGGAAGGAGGGAATGTGTGTGTGTGTGTATGTGTGTGGTGTGTGTATAGGAGGGGGAAGGAGAGGAGAGAGAGAGAGAGAGAGAGAGAGAGAGAGAGAGAGAGAGAGAGAGAGAGAGAAGAGAGAGAGAGAAGAGAGAGAGAGAGAGAGAGAGAGAGAGAGAGGAAGGGAAGAGAGAGAGAGAGAGGGAGAGAGGGAGGAGAGGGAAGGAGGAGAGGGTGAGAAGAGGAGAAGAGAGAGAGAGAGGAGAAGAGAAGAGAGAGAGAGAGAGAGAGAGAGAGAGAGAGAGAGAGAGAGAGAGAGAGAGAGAGAGAGAGAGAGAGAGAGAGAGAGGAGAGAGAGAGAGGGGGGGAGGGGGGAGGAGAGGGAAGAGAGAGAGAGGGGGGAGGGGAGAGAGGAGGAGAGTGAGAGAGAGAGGAGAGAGAGAGAGGAGAGAGAGAGAGAGAGAGAGAAGATGAGAAGAGAGAGAGAGAGAGAGAGAGAGAGAGAGAGAGAGAGAGAGAGAGAGAGAGAGAGAGAGAGAGAGAGAGAGAGGAGAGAGAGAGAGAGAGAGAGAGAGATAGAGATAGAGAGGCGAAGAGAGAAGGAGGGAGTGGGAAGAGAGGAAGGGATAGATAGATAGATAGATAGAGAGATAGATAAGAGAGAGAGAGAGAGAGGGAGAGAGGGGAGGGGGTCGAGAAAGAGAAGAGAGAAGGGGGGGAGAGAGAGAGAAGGAGAGGAGGGGGAGGGGAGGAGGGAGAGAGGAGAGAGAGAGAGAGAGAGAGAGAGAGAGAGAGAGAGAGAGAGAGAGAGAGAGAGAGAGGAGAGAGAAAGAAAGAATCTGAACTTGTCATTTTTTGAATTGTATTTCTTTTAAGGTGTTTTCGAATCCCTTTAATCTCACTTTCGGGTCCCAGATCAGCAAAGGGGGGGGGGGGGTATGGGGACGGGGAAGAGGGAGGAGGGTGAGGTGGTTGGGGAGATCAGCAAGGAGGGGGGGGAGGGTAAGGTGGGAGATAGAGAGGAGGGGAAGGGGGAAGGGATAAGGTGGGGAGATAGAGTGGGAGGGGGAGGGGGAGAGTGGGGAGATAGAGGGGGAGGGAAGGGGGAAGGGGGAGGAGGGGGAGGTGGTCTCTTTCTCTCTCTTTCTTTGTCTCTCTCTCTCTCTCTCTCTATTTCTTTCTATTTTCTCTCTCTCTCTCTCTCTCTCTCTGTTACTTTGTCTTTCTTTTCTGGTCTCTCTCTCTTTCTCTCTCTGCCTGTGGCTGTCAGTCTCTCCTATTCTGTCTCACGCTCTTCATCTGTTTCTCTCTCTTTGTCTCTATCTGCTCTCTCTCTCTCTCTCTTTCTTTGTCTCTCTGTCTCTCTCTCTCTCCCTTTCTCTCTCTCTCTCTTCTCTTCTCTCTCTCTCTCTCTCTCTCTCTCTCTCTCTCTCTCTCTCTCTCCCTTTCTCTCTCTCTCCCCTCTCTCTCTCTCTCTCCCTCTTCTTTCTCTCTCTCGCTCTCTCTCTCTCTCTCTCTCTCTCTCTCTCTCTTCTCCCGCTCTTTCTCTATTTTCGAATTTCTTTTATTTTTTTTTATCTATCTGTCAATACTTCTCTTTATATCTATTTACACGTTTATCTATACACATATCTTCTCTATTTTTTTGTCATATCATCTGTCTTGATAAATGTCTGTCTGTTTATCTGATTATTTTTTTCTTCCGTTCTGCCTCTCTTCTTTACGCCCTTATATAATCCATAAATCGTCTTATTTATTCATCTATTCCTAGAGAAAGATGAATGTCTGTCTATATTGCATAAGTATATTTGACATAATGTTGATCTATTGGTGAATGGAGTCATCAGTATAATTCTATTTACATCTGCTTGGGGGTTAGGTCAGCAAATAAAGACAATATATTCTCGTATATTCGTCATTCATATTCTATTCTTATGTGATCTTTTATCATTTTTGAAGTACTTGTTCTCTGTCGGAAACTCCTTACATTGTCAAATTTTTTTTTTGTCCTATCTAAAGTATTCAGATATGTTCAATCTTCCCGTTAAGCTAGTTTTGATATCGGAAAATAATTCATGAAAATATATTCTTGCATTAATATAACACGTATTATTAACATATCAAAACATTGATCAAAATACATTCTCACGTGTCTAGTAGACCACACGTCAACCCTAATGCAGCCTCTGTATTTAGCCCTAATAGCTCATCTTTTCAATTATCTACTCAGCTTTCCAGATTTTTAAATAATTGAATGTGTTCAGTCCCCCCTCAACCCCTAAAATCAAAAAAAAAAAAAAAAAAAAAAAAAAAAAAAAAAAATCTATACTTTTCTCACCCCCCCCCACACACATATACACAAATCGATCCTCAAATATCTACTCAACTTTGCAAAAATTTTAAATATTCCTATATATTCAGTCATTTCTTCCCTCCCTTCCCTCCCTCCAATATCCCCTAAGAAGCCCTCCGGCTAAGTCCCCTCCCCCCTCCTTCGTTGAATGAAGAGTCGAATCCCTGAGTCGAATCCCTGAAGCAGTGGTTCGAATCCTCAATCAACGTCAATACTACTATAATCATCATTATCCTCTGTCAGTAATGCTAGCCTTGTATTTACTATCGTGGTCATCTTGAATTTGATATCAGTTGATTCCTAAATGTTCAAGTAGCCCCTTCGAACCCCAAAGCAAGTCGTGTGTGTGTGTGTGTGTGTGTGTGTGTGTGTGTGTGTGTGTGTGTGTGAGAGAGAGAGAGAGGGAGAAAAGTAGGGACAGAGAATGAGAATTCCTTTGGTTCTTCTAGATGTTTCAAGTGTTCGAAAATAAAGTTTGGCAGGGGATAACACGGCGGGAGAAAAACCCTTTGAAAGTGTAAGCAAAGAACAGTTGCTGTGTGTGAATAACCTTGCCTCATTCGGTGTTTTTTGTTTGTTTTGTTTTGAAAGTAAAGGTTGGCAGTAGATAAAACGGCGAGGAATCGTATTTGAAAGTGTGAATGAGGGCAGTTTCTATGTGCGAATAACACTGCTTCAGTTTTTTTTTTGTTTCTTTTTAATTAGCAGTAGATAGCACGGCGGGAAAATCGTATTGGAAAGTGCGAATAAGACCAGCGTCTGTGTGCGGATAACACTGTTTCGGTTTGTGAATAACACTGCTTCAGTTTTTTTTTTTTTCTTTTTAATTAGCATTAGATAGCACGGCGGGAAAATCGCATTGGAAAGTGCGAATAAGACCAGCGTCTGTGTGCGGATAACACTGTTTCGGTTTGTGAATAACACTGCTTCAGTTTTTTTTTTGTTTCTTTTTAATTAGCATTAG